TTTTTTTCCCAGGCATTGCATTTAGTAGTATTGCACTGAAAGAAAAGAGAAAAAGGCCATTGGTCAATAGGCAGGGAAATGTCAAGCTTTACTCAAGGTACAGATGTTCTTAATTACGCAGGATACATAAAATCTGAGAAAGAAACTCATTAGTAGAGTTGGGTAAATAATGGGTTGTCTGGTTTTGTGGTCAAGCAAAAAAAAAGCAGGAGGAGAAAAATGATCAAGCAAAGCAGAAAATTTTTGAGGGTTTGGGGTTTTATTAGTTCTATTTTCTTGGAGGAAAGAAGAAAGAGAGATTAGATACAGAGAAGGGGGCTAGGGAGAAAAGAAGCAAAAAAAAAAAAAAAAAAAAAAAAAAAAAAAAAAAAGAAGAAGAAGAGCTGATCTCTGATCTCTAATCAGCTTTACCTGGTAGCAATTTTACAAGGTATCCTCTCCAGAACAGCTGATGAGAGCAGAAAATTTTCAGAATTGAATGATAAGGGTATGTCTACAGTGTCAAATCCTTTAAGTTACACATCCTGAGACAGCTAGCCATGAGTTTCCTCTTTGGAAGCTATGTAGTCACTAATCATAGAGCAGAAGAGCTTTGCTGATAACTGTCTGCCCCAGATGCTAAGGGTGCACCTTTTGTCTTTAAACTCAAACCTGATAAGGAAGAACATATCAACTGTTCCATAAGTCTTCCTTAACTGCCATGTCAATCAGATACTATTAAAAGATTATTTTAATACTTCCTTTTGTCATGATACAGTAAACTTTGCTGGAAATATCTTGGTAGGTTAAGAACTTCTCTTACCTGTGCTTCTTTCCACCTTCCTGCTTGACAGTGCTGTATACACTACACAGGCATCTCTGCTTCCCTCTTGTGTCAGGAAATAGTTTAGGTCTTCACATTCCTCTGTTAGATCAAGATACAGCTGACTTTTATTGAGGAAAAAGTTAAATAGTACCTTATCAAGCTCTGCTGCCAAAGGGATGACATTTGTTGTTAGAAGCCAATGAATCACGTGAAAAACATTCAGGAATATGATCTTTAGCTGAGAGGACTGAGATCTGCTTTTCAACACTGCTATATGTTACATTTGACTACTCCAATCACTTGCTGAATATTTGTAGCAGAGGGTACCCCCATTAGAGTCTTGTGGGTAGCTTAGGGCTACAAAAGTGTGTGGAGATTTTTATTAACCTATTTTGGGAGTTCCATATTACCACTGAAGACAGAATAATTGTGAAGAGTTTTGTGAGTTGCATTAAAGAGTTAAAACGCTGGATTCTCTCCAGCAGTGGAACAGAGACTCCACCACAGAAGTATTTTGTGCCAAGAAAAGTAATTTAAAAATGAGTAATGAGGGCATATTGTTAACCATTACTCTTTAAAGATGTATTTTTCATTTTTAAAGTCTGCACAAGCCACAGACTATTTTTGGAGGTAACTCTCCCTTTGGTCCCTCTTCAAAACCACAGAATATATATATTCTCATTCAGTAGGGAAAGGTGAATACCCCAAATCAAACGTCTTGTGCATGACTTTCAGGGTAACTCATGACCAGGTTTTGAGGAGTACATTTAGACTTGAGACCCAAGGTCCAACAGGGTTAAACACTAAGCAATTAAGACCCGTTGAAAATCCAGCTACTTGGTGCCAACATGAGATTCTAGCCATTGGAAATTTCTCTGACAGGGACATACCAATGCACTGTTTTTTCCAGGTTGAAATGAAATCCAATATATCCATTAATTTGCACTTCCACAAATGCTTTTTTTCCTCATTAGATCATCTTAACACTAAGTTAGTAGATTAGGCAACTGTGGCTGCTTTTTTTTGTTACTCAATTACAGGATCAGCAGATGTCAGGTTGTAAATGAATGTAGTACTAGCCTCCTATTGAATTCAAATTGATTTTCAGGCAGAACAAAAATTAGCTGAGAGTCCATAAAATAGTCCACTGAGTTGTATTTAATGTGCATAGGGGGAGAATTCCTACAGTCTTGCCAAGGAAATAGAGTTATGACTGCAACCAGATGTGATGTTCTTCACTGGGATGACAAAGATTCAGATAGAGAGTGAAACAAAGGCAAGATAAACAGATAAACAGTGCACAGTCATCCAAAGGAAAATGAGAGGGGAAGTGTAGGACTTATGATACTTCTTTCTCCAAATGCATCACACACTGAAGTTCCTTTAAAACATAAACTGGATTCAAATCCCTCACAAATGAAATGTCACTATATTACCTGCTTTTAACAGCCTTCAACCCAGTGGCATCCCCAAACCAGAAATAACCCTTAAACCTTGGTGGCATTGCCCAAATCCAGGAACAAACCCTAAATCCAGACGCACCCCACACCTGGCAGCACTCACCAAATCTGGCAGGACACACCTGACACAAATGGTAACCCTCCCAAACCCTGGAGTTTCACCCCAAACTGGCAGCAGACACCACACCCACGTACACCCCCAAAACCTGTTGGCAATCTCCAAACCCACAAACACTCCCAAGCCCAGGGACACATCTTAAACCTGCCAAAGGTCCCACAAGTCCAGAAAGAACCCCCAGACACACCCCTGAATCAGGCACCTTCTCCCAGGCCAGGCAGCCCCCCCAAAGCTGGCAGCACCTCCCAAAAGCTGGCAGCACCTCCCAAAAGCTGGCAGCACAGTGTGCTGAGGCTGTGCCATGACCCCCCAGCTCAGCCAGGACAGGGAATGGAGGCCAGAGCATGGAAGGCGCTACCAACCCTGAGGGACGAGACAACCCCTCCCTGAGCAGTTCCCTCGAGAAAGGCGGAGGAGGATGACTGACAAACGAGTGTGGCATCTCCCAGAGCAGACCAGCAGAGTTTAATGTGCCGGGTGAGAGGGTTCAGCACCGGGGGCTGGCACACGGCTGGCCCTGCGCTGCCCTCCTGGACGGCTGTAGGGCTTTCTGGCCCGCCGTTCCTGCCGTAAGAGGTGCCGGATCCGTATGGGCCCAAAGTGGGAGCAGTTGTCCCTCTTGGTGGCCACGGTGCCGTGGGAGCCTCCCGAGCCGGGGTTGTGCTGCACCATTGTGAAATGGAACAGGCTGATGGCGAGCACCGGGAGAGCCTCTGTCCCAGCAGTGCCGGGCTTTGGTTTCCTGATGCTCCACCACCAACCCAGAGGGAACAGAGGCCCCAGAGCCCCTGCAACTACCCTCTCCTCCCTGAGCAGCCCAGGGCAAGCAAGCTCCTTCCTCCACAGCCCTCTCCTCAGATCACTGCAGCTCACACTGATGCCCAGTATCCTTTGATGCTGGCCTGGGTGATGGTGTCACAGTGGCTGCCGTGACATCACCACCGCCCATTTGTGTGCACCCGTCTCCCCTGATCTGGGGGACTTCACTGAGCCTGGAGCTGGTGACAGCATTGAGAATGTGCACGGGTTTTGGATTTGTGACCAAAGCAGTGCGGGTGACACAGCACTGCCTGAGCCATGGCTGAGCAGGGAGAGCACAGTGCTGAGGCCTTTTCTGCTCCTCAGCCCAGCACCAGTGAGCAGGACGGGCACCAGACACAGGGGACAGAGCTGGGAAAGCAGACCCCCTCTAACCAAAGGGATCATCACACACCTCATGATGCTCAGCCCCACGACTGCTGCAGCTCCTGGACCAGCAAGGCAGTGGGTGGCTGGTCACGAACCATTCTTTTTGCATCACTTGTTTGGTTCTGCTTTGTTTTCCATAATAAACTGTCTTACCTGAGCCCAAGAGATTTTGCATTTTTACCTTTCTGATTGTGTCCCCCCTCCCCGCGTGGAGGGAGGAGGGCGAGTGGCTGCGAGGGTCTCAGCTGGCCCCTGGGATTAATTAGACCCGGACAGCACAGGACACGGGCACTGCTGGGCACAGGGTGGCATATCTTTTGCTGCCTGCTGTGGCAAGAAGGGAGGATGGAGTACGGAATTCACAGCTCAGTTTCAGGCTGCAGCACCGGGCGGTACCACAGGGCAGCAGCAGCGGCCTGAGCCAGCTCTGGCACTCAGCCTGTGAGGGACAGCGGGAGCAGCTCCCGCCTCTCCTCCCGCAGGGAACACCAAGCACAGCAGCTCCCACCCGGCCCGGGAAACAAGGGATTAGCCCCTGCAACCACTGACCCACTTGCAATGGTACCACTGGGGACAAAGCCCTGCAGCTCCCACCTCTGGTTATGGCCAGGAGGGAAACATGCTGATGGCCAAAGTCAAGCCTCTTGTGACCCTATAAACAGCGGTCCTGGGTGATGTCCTCTGAGCTCTCCAGGGCTGCAGGACCCCTCTCAGAGCTCACAAACCCTCAAGCTGCTGCTCTGACTACCACAGTCACGGACGAGGCCTGGGCTTGAGGCCAGAACAATAGCACTGGAATATAGTAATGTATTTTATACAGTGTTCTTTATAGACTGGCACTTTCAGCTGTTAATAATGTATGGCTAAACCCAGCTTTGGCTTCAACTTCATGTAAGGGGTCTTATTTTTCAAACAAAAACTTGAGGTAACTTACATCTCCTTAAATAACGCAGTAGGACTATGGTACCAGCAAACAAACAAACAAAAACCAAACACAAAAACAAACAAGTAAAACAAAAACACCAAAAAGAAAACAAAACAAACAAAAAAAACCCCACACAAAACCCCCCACTTTATATTTAGATATTGGACAAGTCAAAGAAGAACAAAACAGGCAAAAGAAAACATCAGCCCCGGGGCTCTTTTTTTCAAGTAGGTGATTTGACAGTTCTCTGTTTGCCTCACAGTACAGAGGAAGACCAAAACACAGGTACATCAGTTTTTAAGTACTGTTGCAACAGGTACAGCTTTGCAGATACCTGTTCTCAGGTGAAGGTTAGAATTAAAGCATAGTTGTAGTCAGGTCCTGAGTGCACTAATGTTTTTAATTAACAATTACATCAACAATCAAATCAACAATAACCAATTACATTAACTGTTTATTTAAAAATTAACAATTCTTATCAGAGAAGAAAGGAATTTCTCTTCCCTATTCATCACTTTCTGTATCACTGTGTTCTGAGGAGTCAAACCATTCCTCACTTCCTGCAGCAGGGAAAGTCAGTTTTCCAGCACCTAAAAGTAATTAACAAAGTGCAACACTTATAAACCAAGAAAAAAATGAACTTCAGAACAAGTATGTGATGGTATTAAATGACCATAACCTAGCAAAACACACTTTAGACCACAAACTAGACCAAAACACCCCAAACTACTTTTAACTGCCAAATTTTGTCTGTGGCATTCTGATAGAAGAATGTCTGCCCCTAGGTTGCTATTAGAGGTCCTCTCACCTCTTTCTAGAGAATCTGAGCAAGCTGGCAAGTGTCACATCTCTGAAATAAATGAGTATTTCAGAGAAAGCTGATGCAGAAACGAGAATGTTCATTGTTTCATGTATTATAAACAGACTCATTCAATCCTTACCAACTGTAAGAGAGCTTTCCTCTTCAGGCTCCTCCCAATGTTCAAAATCTAAAGACACGTGAATATTCTGTTGACAAAAACATTGTTTGAAGTATCTGCTCTGATGCACAACAAATACTTTCAAAACATTCAATAATTCTCAAATGAATTTTCACCTTTTTCTTCAGCAATTTGCACCATGCTCCTTGTTTTTCTTTTGCCAGAACAATCACAGCCTCTGTATCCTTAATCACACACATGGACTTCTCTGCAAATACAGACTCTTGAAGCTCCAGGTCAGCCAAATAAAGTTTTTCTCCTGACCTAGCACTGCAACATACAAGGAGTTTAAAAAAATTAAATGCAAACTGATCATAAACCACTTTTTTTGTTATACTTAAGTTTCTTAAACCTACCTGAAAACCACCTTGTCTTTAGAGAACTCGCATTTAGTGTCAGCTGCACTCGGTATTTTTACCTTCAGTGTAACAGTCTCGTTATCTTGAAACCACTTGATTTCTGGATGATAGCTGAAAGAAAGGTACTTCAATAGGATTATTTTCCAAAAGAGAAACCCACAAAGAGGTCTAACCAGGCTGTCCCACACACTCAGCCGAGTGTCCCTGTCTGAAGGGGCACTGACACCAGCAGCAGTGCCGGGCAAGCAGGTGACAGGGCACCACTCAAGCTTCCCACAAAAGCACCACAGTCCCAAGTCTTTGGAGGAGCAAATCTACTAATTCAAGTGGGGAGGCACACTCCATTGTTTGATATCCAAAAGAATCACACTTATTTCAGGATGACACCACAGTCTGGTCTTGAAATGCCAAAGGAAAGGCTAACTGTGGTTCTTGTAGCTTATTAAATAGCTGTTCTAATTGTGTTCTGCAGCAAATACTGTGCTATGTGCTAGCAAGACCAATCTCTGACAGAGTGAAGAAGCTTTTCAGCTGACTACAGACACAAATACAGCCCTTTCTGGTAGTTCTCATAAAAGCAAGATGGGAACCAATCACTCTCCATTTTCTTACCATTTATGCTGATATAGAACAGAGTCTTCTGCTTCCTCTGCTGGAGCTACATCATCTGAAAAGACAACATCCAGAAACATCTCTTATACTACAGAAACATGTATTTCCAGAATATCCCAGTACCATCACAAAAATAACTTGCTAGCACTGAAATTACTACCGCAAGACTGAAATTACTATTGCAAGACTCTATGAGTACTTCCTATCCTGAATGATTTCATAAAGTTAATAATTAAATGAAAATTTTAAGTAACAACAGTATTACTGATGGTGTAAGAAAATAAAATAGTAAAAACCAAAACAAACAAAACACACACACACAAAAACACACAACACAAAAAAACCACACACAAAAAAAAACAAAAACAAAAAACCAAAACCACACAAAACACAAACAAACAAACAAAACCACCACACATGCAGTTTTCCAGGTCAGGTAAAAAAGTTTATTGCAGTTTCAAGATGTATTTATTTGAAACCCAAAACATGCCATTTTGGAAACTGATGGGGACTTTCAGGGATGAAACAACTCACATTGGTGTCACCACCAGAGTTGGAAATGCAGCATTAATGTGACTCTACCACATCAGGGGAAAAAAGCCTTCTATGATAAGCAGCCCTGGATCTCACTTGACTTTTGTCTGCTGCAACTTTTGCATCTCTCAGTTTTCACTGCTCCAAACTCATGTGCCAGCTGCTGGCAGGTAATGCTCTTCCCCCTGCTATGCCTGAACACTTCTAAGCCTCTACTAAAAATACCACATCCTTGAGATTAGATTATAAAGGAAGGGGGGTGGTGGGAGAAAGAGCTATTTTCTGCCACCTCAAATCTCAGGAAAAAAAATAACCTCCCGGATAACACTGTTATTCAAGCTGATATTTCAACAGACTTTAAGCACCTAACTTGAATTCAAGTTTGAAAACCTTAGGAAATTATGAGAAGGTTTACCACATGGATAACTCCCAGAAGTATTACAGCTTTCAGGAAAATCTTCTTCTGTTGACATATCCTGTGGACTGGACACCTTCTCAAGATCAGCTGTGCCCTCCTTTATGCTTCTGAACATAGAAAAAAGATGTTTTAAAAGAAACTCACAAATGATACCCAGTCAACCTTACAGAAGCTCTCTGAGTCCCCCTTACTTTACCTCTAGCTTACTAACAAGGCCTGCAATAAGTTCTGAATGTTTTCACAGTACTATCAGGCTTAGTGAATCTATAAAAAGTGATCCAAGCACTTGAATTACACATATCTGAGATGGAGCCACAGCACACAGCACAATAAAGTTGGGTGGTCTCTGGCATTACACGCTTTGGTGACCATGTGGAAGTTCCCAACCTTTCTCTCCTGTTCACTAACAGCATGAAAGAAGAAATGAATGCAAAAAGGTTCTGCCTGAGGCTGCAGAAATCTCACAGCCTGAGAATCCTCTGTAAGGAACAAAACCTGAAAAAAAAGCCTTCCAAGCATCAGCAGTGCAAACACTGTTCTCATACACCAAGTCTGAACAGGGAAAGCCAAATGCTTTGGTTAAGATTAAAATCCAGCACAGTTCTAGACAGGATTTCAAGAGCCTCAATCTAAGATGGAAGTGGAGTATGGAGAAGGTCAGGGTTCCTCCTCTTGCTGATCAGTGAAGTCACAGAACCAACAGCCTAAATGAACTTGCTCAGCCCTGTGACAGCACAGCCTGTGCTGGTATTCCAGGACCTTTCTTGTCTACCAAGCAATAGCCACTCTGGAAGAAAGATATTTGAGATTTCTTTCTTCCTTATAAATACTTTAAAAACCCTTGGCTGGTCAGACAGAAGTACTAAAATTTATTTTCAATGACGGCTCCCAGACTGAAGATCAAGTGGCTGCACTGAGGGCCATGAAGGGGCCAGAACAAAAACACTACAGACATCTTGCTCATAAATATTTTACATCAAGGGCCTAAGGATCTGCAGCAGAGTGAGATGTGCCCTCCCACCACACACTGTATTTACTCAGTTCTAGAAGTTTCCAGTTTACAAGGGAAAAAAAGTTCAGCGCTGCTTCTGCAGAACTCCCCCTGCAGCCACAGTCCTTAAATGTACAGCTCTAATCAATTCAAAGGAAACTGGTTACATTTTCCAGCTTGCACTCTGCAGTTGAACACACACAAACAACATGCTCAGCTGCTCTGACTCAGTACTAGGTACTGACTGGTAAGCATTCAAACCAGCCACTGACCATACTGAACAATCCATTATTTTAATCATTAACTTGACTGTCTGCATCAAATTCTGGTGTAACATTTCCTAGAACTACAATTTTCTTTCTCTTGTGGTTACGTGGCTAAAGAATAGTTAACGAGAAGCAGACAAATCACAAACACAATTGTTTCTACGTTTAAATGAAGATCACTGTATTAATAAAAAAAATATTCCATTAAAATTAAATAGTATTTTTTTCCTCAGAAAAAGATCTGCTGAAAAAAAAATCTGTGAACACTTACAAGTGCTCCAAGTTCTCTGCATAATCTGACACTCGCACATGTCTGCACAGCTTCTGAATTTCTTCTAGATGTTCTGGATTGTCAGTTCCCAGACCGGTGGACAGAATCTCAGATCGAATGTTGTATTCATTGATCCACACCTTGACACTGGAAAGGCTGGAAACCCTGATCTTGAATTACACAACACAACAAAGACAAACCACAGTTCTTAAATGGTCTCAACTCCAACTCAAAGCTGCTCTTTAAGTCTAACTTCAAGCACAGCCCTAACTAACTTATACCTGTAAGCAATTTGTTTTCTCTGATTTTCAAACAGGAACCCACCCATGTTTGTTTTCCAAGTGTCATCACCTTTTCCGTTGTGATTATGGCTCAAGTACCTGGCAGTGTGTCCTGTCTAACAGAACCAGGGGGGGCAATGAAGTAAACAATCCCAGCCCTCATCATGTAAGTGACACCAAAAATACACAACATATACTTGGAGTAACTGTGATTCCCAAACGGGAAACTGCTGGGGAAAGGAGGGTGAGGGGCACAGTAAGAAAAACTGTTAAGTAAAACCAAAGCCTAAAAATTGGTGAAAGGTTGAGATACACCGTATGAAAAGAAGTTACTGAAGAGAATGACTTCCAGATCCCTTTCCACTCAATTTTTCAGCTGACTCACTCCGCAAGATCAAGTCACCTGCTGGATGTTAACATATGTGAAACTGTAAAACAAAGAAAATTCAAGAAGAGCAGCCATTCTTCCTATTCTGATCAAGAAAATGAAGGAGAAAAGCTTCAGTATTTTTTAATTTGCAAAAAAATTTACACTAACTAGCAAAGTAGTGCAAGAGCTGTAAGAGACAGCAGACTCAGAAATGTAAATAGAATAAATTAAACTTAGTTCAAGAGCTCTTTGGATATCAGAAAACCATCTTGGAGCATCCAAGTTTCATTCTTCCAGAGGGATGTGTGAGGAACTGCAGAACTGATTTTACATAACAAACTCCTGAAAACTAGCACTGCCAAAATACACTTTTGTTACTAACTTTGTGGAGTAGTCTTGGACCATGTCCAGATTGCTTCTAAGCACCTCCAGGGATGGAGACTCTACCACCCCTGAGCAACCTGTTCCAGTGCTCAGACACCATCACAGCAAATTAACCAGCACCACTACGTGAGTATCACACAGGATAAAATCACTTACAGGGACAGACACAAGGAGAGAGAATAATGGGTGCTCTTGTTATAATGCAGGTAAGACACCAAGATTTCACAGTGCTGTCATTCTATACCTACCACTGGGTCAACCCAAGCTGTCTTTCCCAAGGTATGGACTATTTTTGCATGATGTAGTCTTCCTTTAATTTTGTGACGAATGTGATCAGTCACCTGGGAAAAAACAAGGTGTCACTGCACCTGAGATGTATCAACACCAACACAGCTTTACAGTTACTTTAACTATAGAACTCACTATAATGGAACAATCTTCTGAGCTTAACAATGCAAAGCAAAGTCAATAAATAAATAACAGTTTTCAGTAAAACAGTGGAATACTCCACCTTAACTGTAGGTTAGAATAGTATTAGCCTTTAAGGAAGGAGCTTCCTCAATGGAAGAGCACTCATACATAAGTCAATTTACAGAGGCTACCCTTCTGCTGTTTCTCCCCCAGATTCAAAAGCAGCAGTAATCTGTTCTGGTAGAAACTATTTAAATCACAGAGAAGAAAATCCCATTAAGTTCACTGTATTATTTTGTAGGAAAACAAAAATGGAAATTGACTTCTTGGAATCTGGCCATTCACAGATATTTAGTGGTAATACTGATGAAGCAGAAATTTGGTACCGAAGTTTACAGTTTGAAACTCTTTCCTTGTAGGAAGTAACACAGAGCAAGGAAGGTAAAGAATGTAAAGGAAATAGCATACAAAACCTGCTCAATATTACCTTTGGGTTCCATTCAATTTCATTATCAATGGGTTTCACTCTACAAACTACAAATTCCACAGCCTGAGGTGGCAGACTCTGAAACTTTGCAGGTAAGTGAAGCAGCTGATCACTACTGACTTGACTTGTTCTGCCTTCATCTATATATTTAATTGTGACCTTACAGTTAAAATTTTCTTCCTCTTTTGCTGGAATGTCTACCACCTGAACCCTTCATTTGGTAGGAAAAGAAACACAGAATTATTATTCATGTAACCAGTGGTAAAAGGATTTTTTCATCTCTCATTTTAAAAATGGCATTTTCACAGCACTCTTAACTGGGGAAGTGGGGGGACCATCCTGTTTGCCATTCACCAAGTTAGAGAGTAAGTGAGAGCTTTTGAAAAGCATGATTTGAACAGCAGTGATTTTTTTTTGCTCCTTTTGGGGATGGACTGACTTTTTTTTTTAACAGAACAGTCACATATTTAAAAAGCTTTGTATAAAAACATGCACATGAATTAAGTAGAAAGCCAATGAATTTTACCTGTGGTAAAGGGCTCCCTCACATAACCCATAAAACGCTGACTTCTCCACGGGGTCTACAAAAATCCTGTGTCCTGGTACCTTAAAATAATTCTGCATTTCTTCAGCAAGAATTGCATATTGGTCATTTTCTTTATCCACTATTCGGCCAAAGTAGTTTGTTGCATGTACAATGTGGAGAGGTAGAATCTGAAAGGATCAAACACATCAAGCAGAAAGGAGGGCTGCAGGATTCCTTAAATCAATGGAATGTAAGCCTTTATACCCAAGAGTACCTACCTCTTTGCAGCCCCAAAAGGTGCCAGATGCTGCTGTACACACACATTTCAGAAGATGAGTTATTGTTATTATTATTATTCTCAATCCTAAGTGCCCGTAGTTCAGTGGACAGGGATTTATGGAGCAAGAGCTGCTAGGTCTCAGCTGATGATATCCCACTGCAGTGAACACCAGTGAACCCTGCCAAGGCTGCTCACCAAGGCATTCCACACCATTCCAACTCAACACTAAGTGCTCTCCAGCCTTAAAGGGAGTTTAAGAAGAACTGACTGCTCTTTTTGCACTAAAATGGCTTAAAAATGAAAGACTATGAATGTCTGTACGAAAATGTCAGTTAAGAAAAAATCCTCACTTCCAACAACACACCTGTCACCCTCCACTTCAACTTCCCTTCACTCCCAAAGATTGTGTTTCCTCTACAAGAAATATAACTGATGTTTCTGTAAACCTTCATCTTTGTTAATTTTGGTACAAGGTCTCAACTTATAAAGAGAAAGAATAAGCAGAATACAAGTCCTCCTCCCATGAAACGTGAATCTTCAAAGCAGAAAAGAATCTGAAGTAAGCTCAGAATCACCTGCAAAACAGTTCCAGTTCAAGCTCAGGACACAAGGAAAATCTGGCACACTTACTTAGGTAAGGGAGAAGGGGGGAAAGCTAAAAAATAACAAATAGCCAAGACAAATGGGGTACATACTGCAGCAGGATTAATGGAAAACAAACAAACAAAAAAAAGGAAGTAACAAGCTAAGTAGCTGTTTAAGACCTGTCCTCTTGGTACTCAAACCCAAGGAAAACTCTAACTCACCATCACACGTTCAGGTGTTTTTATCATTTCATCTGGGATATTCTGGGCCATGTCTATTGATACATTAATTTGGTGCCGATCTGGACACGCTGTTCTATTCCTACATTAAAAAACACCGCAGGTTTAGAAAAAAGCTCTTTGTTTTCAGTTATAAACTATTTTTACGTGACTTGTAACAGACAACATGGGAAAAAAAAAAAGAAAAAAATCATGAGCAAAACCTGTTTCAGATAAATTCATCAAGGAAGAAGCAGCAGTCGTCATTCAGAGCACAAAAACTTGACATCTCCTTACCTGCAAATGCCAAATGTTTTAAGAGAGGCACACAGGGGCCGTGACAATTTTTCACCTTCTTCAGATTCCAGCACCCTGGCAGCCAAATCATGCAGCTGTTGTGGAATTTCAGCCCCTGCATGCTTCAGATAGCCCAAAATCTCAGGTGCATGACGCGGACTGTTCTCTGTCAGCAGAATGACTGATCTGGCATTTGTACGTTCCTGACCTACAGAAGAATCCTAAAAATCATAAAAAAATGTTTTTTAAGGCTTTCATGTATCCACCACTAACAACCCAAAGTGGCATTAACCCACTGAAGGTTTACTCAAACCTTTCTCAGGGTGCAGAAGTTGTCAGTCATGCTCTGTAGGCGTTGGCCCAAGATCCTTAGAGAAGGAAAACTGAAATGGATCACACAACTTGCATCTGTAATTCCCAAGGGCTCCAGGCAGTCATCTGTTAAAACTAAACACATGTTTCACACAGACATGTAAACTTCAAACATTAGAAATATCACATCACATGAATAATGGCTGATTTCCTTCTCCCTTTCACTGACTGGAAAATGAAGAAAAAGGTCTTTTCCCAATATACTTCCATAGGACATTAGATTTTTCCAATCAATAAATTCCATCAGCGTATGGCAGACACGCCATTTCTTGCCAAGCTCTAGCAATCTGGCATAATTCTGTATCTCCTGTCAGCATCACAGAACACACAGAACTGAGCACAGCCAAGTATTTCACAGGAGTGAGACACAACACACTTGAAATACTGCAGGAATGCTCACAGCTCTGTATGAACCTACAAAGCAGAGAGAAATCCACCTTCTTGCTTTCAGCGTATAAAATGGAAAACTAATTCAGTTTGAAAATGGATAAAAAGCCTTTGTTACTGAAAAAAACTTACAGAAAATTCTACTGAAACTTATGGGAAATTATTACAATATATCTTTTTTTCAGACTTAAAATCTCTGTAGTGGATACAATTGTGAAATTATGGTAAATCTTTGAAAACATTGGTAATTATTAACTTACGCAGGGACAACAGTAACAGGGAAAAAGAAAACAAGAAACACCAGCTGCAGCACTGAGAAGTAAATGTACAATTGGAAAGAGTTCACAGGGATCTGCTTCAGTGTAAGTGATAACTTCAGTGTAAGAACTTAGTGTAGATCTTAACTCAGCATGAAGACATAACCCCAACTGGACAGAGAGAGAGAATCCTCACCCAACACAACAGGAGAGCCAGAACTGTGCATTTTTCTCCACTTCTCTGAGACACAACTGGCATTACACTTGCTCTCTTTATGTTTCTTCAAGGTAACTATTGAGTTGCTCTTTAGTGCCTGGATGACAAAGTGAAAAAAAAAAATTAGACATTTCTCCAATGCAGCAGTAACTTCTCTAATCAACTCTAATAAGCACTGACTCTTACTAGAATTCAGCACACTCCAGATACTGCAAAGACACACGTGGAAAGAGTTACTGAAATTTAGGTTCCTTCTATGAAAAAAAAAATAATATGGCAACTAAGTTCCTTAATTTCCTGTATAAAAGAAAACTAAAATCTCAGGTTCCCATGGATTAATAGATTAGGGAAATGTTTAAGAAAGTAAGTTTCACTTCAAGCTTTTCCCACCATTAATGTGTCCTCTCTGAGTCGATCCCATCATCTAACAACATGCAGACTCACCTTTCAGTCTCTGAGAACAAGCACTCTTAAAGTTAACCCTTGGAATATTTTCGTAGGCCAGGTAAGATACTTGAAGTTGGTGTACACAAGGATTACTATGAACAGATTCAACCTGACTTTGCATCAACAAGCACTTCCCTAAGTGTTGGCAGGTAAGCAATTCTGATATGCTTGAAGAAATGAACCCTCAAATATTCAAGAAGAACGTGTTAAATAGTCACAAGCCCGGACCAAATTTGCTTCCATTAACAATTATCAAAAAATAAACACTCCAGATACACTAATGTTTGCATAAGAAGAAACCTTCAAGTAGCACAGGATCTATGCCAGCTTCTGCTGGAAAAAAGTCAGTCTGATTCAACTCAAAGTCCCAATCTGACAGGCAGAAGGCAGGTAAGAATTCAGGAATGAATTAGCCTTTTTTTTTTTTTTTTTTTTTTAACTAGCAGGGCAGGCTGGGGTTACTTTTAGCAGAAATAATTAAATTCCATAATTTGCACTCCTCCTTTATTTTCAGAAACCAAGGTATTTTTGTTTAACTTCACTATTAAAAAAAAACCTACTTACTTATGTAAGTTTAAATACTTTCTTACCTTATGAATCATCTCTACTTCATTTTCTGAGTCAGTGAATACCAGCACCTTCTGAAGATTCGTGTGGGTAAAATCCAGTATTTTGAGTAATTCAGCAATTTTGCTGCTGTTCATGCAAGGCTGCACGACCTAGAGACAGGACAAAACAGAGGGCTGGTAATTCATGTCACCCAGACATATTTCACCATATAATTCTTCTTTTTAATAACCACTAAGCTTTATTCTGTAATACCAAAGAGAATGTAGTACATGGCAGCTCTGGTAAGTGGCAGGCCTTTTGTTGAACCTACAGGAGATACAACTCTCAGAATGCATGCATTCAGCACAGCTTCCAGAAGCATAATTAAAATCCATCACATCATCAAAATCCCACACTAAGGTTTTACATCAGTTTGAATTGATTTACAAGTTTAAGTTTGGAATTTTCAATCACCACTAAAAACAGAAAAGGAAGGAAAGACGGGGCAAGATTATTTACTAGAGCATGCAGTGACAGGACAAGGGGGAATGGCTTCAAATTGAAAGAGAATAGGTTTAGATTGGATATTAGGGAGAAACTCTTCCCTGAGAGGGTGGAGAGGCCCTGGCACAGGTTGCCCACAGAAGCTGTGGCTACTGCAGATCCCTGAAAGTGTCCAAGGCCAGGCTGGATGGGGCTTGGAGCAACCTGGGCTAGTGGAAGGTGTCCCTGCCCATGGCAGGTGGGTGGAATGAGATGATCTTCAAAGTCCTAACTCAAATCCTTCTATGATTCTACAAAAAGTTTCACACTCCCAAAGCATTCTGCACCAGCGCAATACTCTTAATAACTAATGCATCCACACACCAACATGTTTTGTCCTGCTGAATGATTAAGACTTCTCACAGGAACTCGTGGTCTTTCAGTTTCCTGTCATGCTTGAGAACGGCTAGTCTTGGAGATTTCCAGCATTTTAAATCCTCAAACTATTCCATTTTTAAACACAGAACAATTCAAATTACACTTAAACCATTTTGTATTATTCTTAAGGGCTACACCACACTGACTGGAAATTAGGTGAGAAGACACCCAAGAACATGTAATAGACTTTCTGGGAATCTGAGGTCAGAAGTTCAGTACTGTGTGGCACAGAGCAACATAACAAGTATTTTACTATGTCTGCCTTGTAGTTCTGCCACTCAGAGTTAAATGCAAAAACATTCTGATAACACTCTGGTCACAAACTATACTGTTTGCGAATAACTCACATCAATTTAGACTCATTTGCACTAACTATGCACTAACTATCTGAGGGACTATCTTCACCTCAGTCCTAAAACAGACCTTCAGCTCATTCAGTGAGTCCCTTGCAAAGGACTTGAACATTCCTTCCAGCTCACACATGGGAGATGCACCTCAGCAGCCCGAGCTCCACCTGCTTCCAACAAACCATCCGCAGCCACACGCACAAGCAGTGACATCATTCCCCAATTTTTACCTGTTGCACATTCCCACAGATGGCAGCTTCTTCGACAACTGTTATCACAATGTAAGGATTGTTCATGAACTCCTCCATCAAGGGTGGGATGTGTTTGTTCCACTGAGTTCCCACAGCAATGATCTGATGTGGTGGATTCCCCCACGCTCGAGCAGTGGCCTTCTTGTAACAATCTAATATAGTGAACACCTACAAAGAAAAAAGGAGTTTTCTCTCCTCTCATCCTATTCCAGGGAGCATGTGACAGCATGGAAAAGTAACACTGAGCACAGTGGGTTTTCCAGTCACAAAACCACAACCACAGCACACCACAAATTTCACATCCCATAAGGAAGTGTTTGGTATGTACACTTTTATCCTATTCTTTAAATGACTTCTGAAGGAAGAGAAGTGACAGGACAGCATGAAGTAACAGCATGTGCATGTACACAGACTGTAATGCAGGATTCTGTCCAAAGATGGAAAACTCAGGAAAAGGATTTGTTCAAATCTACAAAGTACTAAGGCTACACAAAGTAGATCCAAGAGGCCAGAGGCAGTCAGCAAAAACTAGGAGGTAACCAGAAGACAAACCCAACCTGCCAATACAGTAATTTACAATTAAAAAAAATTAAAAAAGAAGAAGAATCTGTTCCTGATGACACTACCTTAAATAAATGACAAGCAGTCCAGTTGTGGAACAATGTCAGGATGACCAAGAGCTTTGATTAAAGAAAAAAAAAAAACAAAACCAAAAACAACCCACCACCACCTAACAGGGCAAGTCAGATTCAATATACCAGAGCTCACATCTTCCGGTGTTATTTCCCCTCAGTATGAGCCACTGTTTCAGACACGCACAACTGGAACAGCATTTTACCAACTTAATGTGTAAGCCCTTACCTGTTCAGAGGTGTCAGACAACAGCACCTCAATCTCATCAAGAACAAGATGGCAAAGTCTACACAATAACCAGCTCTTACGTTCCAGCAGTCTCAGAAGGCTGTGTGGTGTAGTCACTAACACTTCACCTACCAGTCAGAAGAAAGACTTGACATTAACTTACAACTTCAAATAATATTATTAAGACACCAAAGAACACAGTAGCTTTATTAAAAAGGCCACATTTGCCTTTCAAATGCAACATCTTGAAGCTGGGGAGTTTTCTGTTGTTTGGTTTTGGATTTTGGTTTTTGTTTATTTGTTGTTATTATGTTGTTGTCTAAATAGAGAACATTCAACTCCATTTTCTGACTTCTGGTCGATAGTTGTTTTAAGTTTCCTTGTATTTTTCTACTCCTGCATGTCTTCCAAGACCTGAGTGGGCAAAGCTCTGAGATTTTGGAATTGAGTGAAATGTCTGAAGGCCAACAAGTTCACAAAGCAGGATGCCATTCATTTTCCAATAAGGTACTGAAAGTAGAGATAACTTCAGAACCAAACAGACAGAAGGGAAATAATGAAATATGTGCAAGAGTAACTACAAAAGTTCAGTTTCAAAAGTGGAATAAAGCACACACTGTAGCTTAGCTATCTACACACATGTGTATGTGTGTACCTATATATATAAATAAAACCACACCAATCCTCATCAGTGCAAATACACCAACAGCTCCACTACTAAAAGATCTGGATTCATCCACCAGCCTCAAACCTGAATGATGGATGAAAGTAGACAAATTGCTGAAATGGAAAGTCTTACATAGTTTTATCCACAGTTCTTGCTCCCTTGGCACAAGAAAAGCCACTTTTGAAAATGCAATTATCAACCAAGGCTTAACAAAGGGACCAAACTGGACTAATAAACTGAATTGTTCTAACTACATATACTTAAGCAGGGCAAGTCTCCCTACAGCTTTTTTATTACTTCCATGCTGTTTCTCCATTGAGCACCCTCTGCATACTACTGAGTTATATGCACAAAGTACTGAGCATTTATTGCATTAACAAGTTGTAAACCACCATTTAAACAAACAAACAAAACCAAACCCCCTTCACTTTACAGAACCAAAAACTTAAGAAGCAGAAATTGCTTCTTTCATGCGTTCCTGCAATTAAGGCTGCCCACATTGCCCTCAAGCACAGCTAAGATGACAAAGTATTCTTACAGCCTCGGGTTTCCACATGGTTGGCTGCTTCCTTGTTCTGCTCAAGGGTTATCAACACTGGATGAAGGTCTCTGCAGCCTTTCTTGTACGTTTTCAGTAGGTCAAAAACAAGTTGTGCCTTCTTCCATCCAGGACATACAATAAGTGCTAGTGGCTAAACACATGGGTACAAAAAAATGTGACACCACAGTACTAGACAGAAGTAAAGAACCTGAAGAATTGTACTATTTCAGGATTTAGGGCAAAGCCACAATCTACAACACAGCTTTTAAGTACTTCAAAACTGAGGCTGTCAGTACTATAACACCTCCTGAATGCAGATGTTGCACACCCAAAGGGATGCATGCAACAGTAAAAGGTCCAAAAATTTAACAGAAGCAGGAGCATCTTGTCACACTTGTTTTACTGGGCCATTTTCAGAGGTCCCTTATAAGTTCAACAATTCTGTTTCTCTTATCTAATACAAGTTAGAAAATGAATTATAGTATTTAAAACAGGTAATACCCATTTTAATTTAATGATTACATACCACTCCTATAGAAATAAAGCTTTATCACAAACTGAAGTTCCAGCACATGAACCACTTGTTAGGGATTACGTGATAGGTAAGTCTGGAACTCCCCTATTCACACAGCCCAACTCTGTAAGTTTCTAAGCAGAGGCCTTATAGACACTGGTAGGTATCATGAAGATACACTGAGATCACATTCCCAACATTCACTGGCTTTCTGATCATTATTCTACCGTTGCACTTGACAGGAGTAACAGGTTTTCTCTTCTAGTATAGTATATACATACTCCACTCGTGTGTGGCAAGGCTTGGGAGGCACTTTTCAGCTGCAAAAATGTAAGAACTGGTGGAATATATAACAGAGGATCATTTCCCTGCTGGGAGACGGCAACAACATCATATCCTGAAGCTACTGGCGGCCAACAGTAAGACTCTGTGAAGTTAGGGCCTGAAAACTTGTTCTGAGCAAGTTCCTGCAGAGAAAGAAATTAAGAGTTCCACATGAAAACTGTGTGCTTAAACAATAACAAACCATGACAAAACACAACACCGAGCAATTTAAAAGCTGACCCACTACAGACTACATGTCCTTAGTGGGTAATACGAAAAAAAAGTTCTTCTGGGCTGAGCTGTTAAATCACTGTATTAAAATTCAAGTCCCAGGACTCGCAGCAGTGGTTGATATACCAGAAGAAATAGGTACAACTCTTACAGCATCTCTCCGAAGCTTCACTTACTCAACCACATGAACAACCTCCTACACATTCCTCAACCAACCTGAGTTATTACTTTCATATTTAGTATATAAAGTTAAGGTACGATACTTGCCTTAAAAAAGATAAAAAGTGCAACATCATGGTGTTAGCAATACCTTTTTCAGACCATCAGAAAGTGGTGCTGTTTTCAAAACTGGTGATGGCTCAATTTTCTTGCTAAGGAACACGAATCCTTCCCCAAGATTTTGAAAATCCTGAAACTAATGACAAATATGTGATGAAGGCAACACTTAAAAAACCAAAAGCTTACACTCAACTCAAAAGCACTCACTGCATTTAAAAAATGGTATTTTGATGAAAATGAGCCACATAAATTGTAAATACACTTAAATATGATTCATGCACACTGATGTGTTACACAGACCAGTGACAAGACAAATACTCATTATTACTAGCTCTTAAAGAAAGGTTTTTCAAGAGGATCTTAACACAACCACGTCGAACCCCTCAAGAGCAGAAGTGGATGTTGTGTGTACAGCTGGCACTCGGCCCCACCCCTGAGGCAAAGAGCAGCACAAAGCACGGACTGCAGAACAACACAGATGGCAATTTCTCTGTTGCTCCTTCCCTCTCACTTCTTTGCTTCAGTGTGGGCCCTCTGCAGACCACAGTCCCTTTAGGAACACCTGCATGGAGCTCCCACTACTCCTCTGACCTTGGCATTACCTCTGTTTCTCACCTTTCTCTTTTCTTGTTCCCTCCCCTGCCTTACATTCACAGAGTGTCCCTAACCTGGCTGGCTGGCTCAGCTCTGGCCTGCACTGGGCTTCGTTGCTGATGCAGCTGCCATCAGCCCCTGACCTCCTCCCACAAAGGCCACCCCTGCAGACCCAACACTACCAAAACATCTGCACAAGAGAAGTTAAATGAAAGATGATGCTTAAAATACCTGCTGGTCATTTTCACCCGTGTGGGTCTGAAGGGAATCGGAATTTAAGAACTGCGGAAGCCTGAGAAACACACAAGTATCAAATCCAGCATAAATATAAAAGTAAAATATTATTTATAAATACTACCACTATTTCCAAAATGTCATGAAGCAACGCAAAGTATTTCTGAGGTATTATCTATGCCAGTGAGAAAACCACTTGAACATGGAAGAAATCAAAAATCACCCCTTTGAAAAAAGAAACCCCACAGTGAAAGTAATCCTACAGAACTTTGTTCAAAGGTAATTGGTAGGTTCCTTGACTTTGGAAGAAAAATAGACTGGGCTGCAGGAAAAAGGTTTTTTAAAAGTTTCAAAACATGAAACAATCGATCTTTACATCAGTTAGAAACTAAGATAGAAAACACTCCTGGGGCTTATCACATATGCATCAACTGACACGCAGCACAGTAGAAGTACTGCACAAATAAGTTCTGAGTCATTTTTCATTAAGTTTTAAAACTTTATATATCACATTAAGAACAAAATAAATCAAATTAACACCTTCAGTGTGCAGAAAAATATCATTGTTGTTAAGCTACTGATTAGAAAGAACTGCTATTTTTCTTGTAGTCTGGGTAACCATCAGAGCTTTATATTCCCTTCCTTCCCCACAAGGATGTGTATGCACCTTCCCTTACACCCCCACCCTTTAGCTGCCTAAGAGCAGTAACTGGAAACAATTACAGCTCCCAGTTATCTGATTCCATGATCACTCAAAATATTTAACATGCTGCACCATACCTCTCTGTTTGAACTGCTTTATTTTCCTTCAAAAGCAAACCTGGAGTTGCGTTGACCATCTAGAAAGAAAACACATTTTAACACTAAAATACTGCTGAAAAGCAACATTTAAAATATAGATCTGTGTTATACTGAATGACTACAATGTTCCTAACCTGGCCTATGTTTGTATTTCACTATTTAATACAAAATACAATACTTACAGGCACAGTATTTTCATTTACAACTTGGCTTGGCCTTTGGGATGTCTCTTCAAGAACAGAACTAAACCCAGGAAGACCTAGAAAGGTAAGTAAAAAATGCAGACACACATTTTTGATTATCTGAACACATAAAAAGCCAGTATTTTTATTTACTGGGTTGCCAGTGACTTGTTTAGTTGCTTGTATCATTTCCTAACAGCAAAAAACAACAACAAATAGTTGTCTTTATGTAAAAATAACTACACAGGTGAACTGAGTGAAGAAGGGGAGGAGATGGAAGGTTCCATACTTTTATAAAGAAAGACATGAATCACAAAGACACAAGTCATTGTAAATATTCCTTTCAGAAGTAATTGTTCAAATAAATCCCTCCAAATTCCAAACAATCCAGTAATGCATCAATGATCAATGCCACAAGTAGTATCAGTGACACCCAATGCTACTACCATATCAACAAGCACTTGTGTGATCACCTCAGCCTCCCTTTGCCTTACACAGCACAAAAAGGGACTCAGACTGAGGCAGGAGGTTCACTGCTGTATCTATCACTGTTTCCCACACACAGTTCCCACCTGTTTCAGGATGTGGTGACACCTTCCCCCCAAACGGCAGTTTTGGCCTGGGGACAAACGTAGGACCCACAAACTCCACTGGAACACACTCAGCATTTAGTGATGCTTCCGTGTCTGAATCATCTGCAGAACCCTCTGCATTCCCTTTAGGTTCCTCATAACGAGCAAAGTACTTTGTGACCAGATCATCATTAACACATATCTGTAATACAACAAACTCTTTACTGATGACTGTCAGTAAGCAATAAGCTACTTGTTTAGAATTTATTTGAAGTTTTAAATAACAACAGTAATTTTATAAACTATAAAACATCCTCAAAGCAGCCAAGCAAACAGAACCCCAGACACAAGCAATACCAGCGAATGCTTTCTAAAGAATATTAACTCCAGAAAAGGAAAGTCAGTCTCATCTTCCTGTATGTTCTTTCAACAGGTGTTATTTAGTTGTGAGTTTCATGCTTCTGGCCAAAATTCTGTACTGAATTAACTTTTTCTGTGAGCCCTATAAACCTAAAAGAACTCTCTAGTTCAGTCTAGCTGGTTTATTTCTTTTGGACTCAGCACATATCAAAATCTCGCAGATATAAAGTAATATTAAGCTAAAACTCCTTGTATCTACCATACAGCTGCTTAAGTCTGGCAGTAGCTACAGCAGAGATTTGGCACAAGTTGCAGATTTTGGCAAGTGGAACTAGATTGTGGGTTTTTTTCCCACATCCTTCAGGACTCAGTTGTATGCAAAAGCATGAACTTCCAGTTATTTTTAGAATATTATGCAGCTGCCCTACTGAAATATCTTCAAATTTGATACCACAAAAAGGTGAAATCACAAGAAGTGCACCAAATAATTCACACAGTTGTTCACTTGAAGTACTGACTGGATTTCACTTGTCATTAACTTCCAAAAAAAGGTTCACGTACAGAAAAATGCAATTTCTGCCTCTCAGAATTTCTCCAGAAGTCTACAACAAGTAAAACTACACCTCTAAGAAGTTGATGATTTAGCACCTATTGTATCTGACAGAAATTGCAAAACTCACAACTCATGTTTTCCAGTCTTAAACTAATAGCAAAGTGCATCAATAGGTTTAGAGATAAAAAAAATCTTACCTTTTCATCTTTTACAGTCACAAAAAGAAACACCTGAAACACATTATCTTCTAGTGCCTGCACCATGGCTTTAACCTCAGTAGCCTCTAAATGTAATAATGAAAACAAGAACAAGAAAAAAATATTAAACCCTTATCAAAGTGTATTTACTTGAACTGTTCGAGACAGACAAAAACAGTAATCACAATTAAATGTAACCTATTCCACTAGAGAAGCTGGAACAAATGTAATAATGTTTGTTATGTCACATAAATGAAACAAGAAAGTTAACAATAAACATTTATAAGTTCAAAAAAGGAAACTGCCCTTAGTCTTTGGAAAAGGACTGAGACCTGCCACAGACGAATGACCTCTCGAGATAAACTGCTCTTAATTCTACACTGAAGTCTTGGTTTATCTTTTAGACTCTGACAATCTGGAGCACCACTGTGTGCTTTCCAACAGCGACATTTACTTTTCTTGAAAGAAGCTGTATGTGCACACCTGTACAGCTTTGTTAAGCATTTATTTAAGCAATGACAGAGGATAAAAGTCCATTCCCAAATCCTGAAGTAGTTGTGTACGCATTAATGATGGATTAGCAATTGAAACAAGTATGGATTGCTACTTGTGGAACAGTCTGGGAATATCTATTTTGTTATTGCTCCCTACTAACCTTTACTTTGCAGTGATACTTTGATGTGTGTAGAGGGGGTGAAGTGAATAGCAAGAAGTGCTATGCCTCAGTTGCTGTGTCAAATTATCAGCCTAAGACCTTTTCTGGCTTTCATAACTTATCCCCTCCTCCCCACATACCTTCTGTGTGGAGTTTGATGTACTGCTAAGTAAGCAGGTAGGCAATTTTTCAGGTAGAAGCAAGTAAGCCAGTAGAAAACCTCAGGAAACAGCTACTTTTTTACTAAGACCAAAAGCTGTCTCATATCAAAAGGAAAGGTTTGATATGCAGCTCCTTTATTTTTAACACACAACATTCTTAAATATAATCAAGTATACACAAGTAAAATAAACTTGTGTCTATACAGAAGTACTATATTTCTCTAACAACTTTTTTCCCCAAAATAGAAGCATTTTTTACCTTTGAGAAGGTCTCGAAAATGCTGGATAGCAGCAGTATCCCATCTTTTGGCTGGTCTAGGAAAATAAACACAAGTTGTCCCACATCATCAAACATGAAAATGGTCATTTCAGAAAGAACTTTGTGCTTGCAAAGAAATTATTTTAAGTGATGCCAAAGCTTACAAAGTGCACCAACTGTAGTAGCAGAACCTTACTACTAAGAACATAACTTCAGTCCTGGTACTATTGTTTCAGCTCACCAATAAAAGGAACTGAGTAAAATTACAGGATATTGCTTTGTCCAGGTATGATGGCCTACATGCAACATAAAATATAATGGAATCATAGAATCATTTAGATTGGTAAAAACCAACAAGATCATCGAGTCCAATCATTAACTCAGTACTGCCAAGTCCAGCACTAACTCATGTCCCCAGATGCCACATCTACACATCTTTTAAATCCCTCCAGGGATGGTGACTCCGACACTGCCCTGGGCAGCCCTGCCCAACCTTTAACAATCCTTTCAGTGCTGAAGTTTTCCTAAACTCAATCTAAACCTTCATTGATTCAACCTGAGGCCATTTCCTCTTGTCCTGTCCTTTGTTATCCAAAAGCAGAGCCTGCCCCCCACCTGGCTCCACCCTCTTGTCAGGGAGCTGCAGAGAGGGAGAAGTTTTCCAAGTCTGGTTTCCTATGTTCTTCTGAAACATAATCCTTTCTAGAAGAAAAATTTCTTCACTAAAATTTTTCTTAGAAATGTATGAATAGAATGTATTTATTAAACTCTACTTACCCTATTTTTGCAGTGTTTTCACAGAAGTCGAGATGCAACGTCACTGGCTTTGTGCAATACAGGCTACACTTCTTTGCTCTGTATGGAAGCTTTGTAAATAGTTCCACTGGAACTCGAATGCTGAAAAACAAGAGCACAAATTACCTCATCTTACAGGGCAGATTTTGTTCTCCAGAAGTCATTGGTCTCAGACACATCCTCCTGTTACCCTGTATCTGACAACACAGTTCCTCCAGGAATTTGGCTCCCACTCTGGAACCCCTGTCCTTCCCTGAGAGAAGTGCCATCAGGATTGGTGAAGGGATTTACTTTGGATAGGAACACACACACTATTTACTTCGAATCTTTCTGATCCTTTGTCACTACAGTTTCAAGTCCTCTTGATATTTATCTTATAAATATCTTCCTTTTTAACCCTCCCACTACCACATACCTCACCTGGCACTGCATATTCCAGTTTACATATTTTAATTATGTGCTAGAAATCAGGTATGGTTAACAAGAAAATTTAATACACACACAAAAAATTTGCAATTGTACTCGTTTTCCTGAAGAAGAATTTATTCTTTACAAATGTATCGCCAGAGAGTTAGTCTTACCCTTCACACTCTGGTTAGAGATCTTTAATAATCAGCAAGATACTGCATACAGCAAGCTTTTACGGTGAATGTATTTATCACTTTTGTTCAATCTTTTAGTGTATTATCAAAAAAGCAGCAAATCACACATTTATTTCTAATTGAATATATTTTAAACTTGGGGCATTGTCACATTGTTTTAAATTGACTGTTGATGTGTTAGGAAACACTATTTAACTTTAGAATTATTTTGAAGTATTTTATATAAGCTTTAATTCTTTGGACTACTATGAAAAATGATTTAAGTTTCTTGTACTCTAAGTTGCATATTTTAATAAAGAAACAAACTTTAAAACTAAGAGCTGGAATAGGTTTCTCTAGAATAGATTTTTCAAGATTTTAGGAATAGAAGGTTTCCTAATGCCTTTCTCAAAAACTTGGAAACTGTGGAAACTCTTAGTAAACAATTAGGAAACTGCAGTGGGAAAAACCCCACAGATTTCTGTTCAGATGTCAAAAGCTGTTACAGAAAGTGAACCCCTGCTTCCATATATGGTTTGTAACTGAACTTCACTGATCATAATTTTTAATTTTTAATATAGAGCTACTTACTACAGGAGGAAAGAATATATAGTGTTAACCGGCAGTTATACACTTCAGTCATAACAAACTGACATTATTTCTATTTTGAATCTTTAAAAAAACAAAGCCTGAGATGGAAAGCATCTTTAGAAGTTCACAAATTAAGGACTGGTTTGCACCCACACCTATGTAAGAGACTATCACCCAGCTAGCAGCTTCTGTGGACCCAACCCACACCTCAATTAATCCAAAGCCTCATCACTGTGAACCTGAATAAGTGTTAATAGCATCAGTATCCACCATCTAACAAGTATCTTAGAGTGATAAAAAAATCCGACACATACTTGTGTGATTCCACCAAACTGTATTTGGCATAATCCACAAGGAAACATCTGAGTGGGTGATGAAGAGCATGGCACTGCACCGACTGAAACACCGCCCTGCACCAGCACTTGAGCTCCTCACTGAAAACCACATAAATCTGAGGAAGAAAGAAGACAGCAGATTCCTGCAAATGGCCTGAATTACACTCAAAGTCTTTCAGATGCAAGAGCACAGTATTTATTACACAGCCTTCCATTTTCTTTGTAAAATGCAAGCATTGCAGCGTGTGCAGTTATGAAGCTTACAGATAAGAACACACAACCCACAGAGACCTCATTATCTACTTTCCTACAGAGCAATAGAAACCCCAAGAAATGCATGTATCTGTTACTTCACCTCAAACCAATGCAAAGAATAGACTATTTCTACGTGTACAACAGAACAATGACTTTACCTGGCCTTCTTGTATCACCTCTGGTTTTAAGTTCTTCACACCTCTATGTCTGTCATAGAACTGATTCATTTTAGCATTCAGGTTTTTGTATGCCACTTCATAGACTAGGCCTGGCACACATTCTTCTACAGCAAGCCAAAAGCAACTTGGATCTTCAATCTGGGGCAAAGGGATAGAGAACAAGTACTATTAACTCCTGCTAAAACGACAAGATGCTTTTAAGAACATCTGACCAGCAAATATAAAAATAAAACTTCATACACAAGCACCTTGTTTGTAAACCTCACTTCCAGAAAGTCACATGGAAATAAACATCAGTCCTTCAGACTTTAAAAACACCAGCATACCTTTAGTACCACAACATCCATGATTATCCCCTGCGGCACATTCATCCCTTCTGTAAAAGAACGGCAAGCATTTGATTAACAATTTTTAGAGCCACCATTTGTTTTGAAGTGTATCTAAAGAGCAGACACCTAAAGCACCTACGGATTTTTACTACGTATGTCAACAGTATTAATCTAGGCAACTGATTAACGTGTTTCAAAGGGTTCAAACCAGCCTTCTTAATGAGGTGCTGTGCTAAGGTATAATTAAGATTTGCCATCCCTTCCCTTAGAAGGGATACATAGGCTGATTGCAAACAAGCGCTGCTACAACCTACCTGCATGACCAAATGGACACCAGAGGGAAATATTTACGAGTTTAAAAAAACAAACCAAAACAACAAACCAAAAAACATAGCCTAAAACAAGAGAGGAGTCCCAAAATTAGGGATTACAATGGAATAATTAAAACTACCCGCACATTGAAGTAACTTGCATTTCTTTTTGGCACAAGCCAGCTCACCGCGGTATCATCCCCGCAGTGTCTAGCTTACAACCTAATTCACACTGGAAATAAGTGTCTAATAAAACGTTTCAAGAAAAGAAAATCAGACGTTGGTCTTCCACTTCCAAAGCTACTGCTGAACAAGTCAGCACTAAGTAAGCAGCAACAGAGCTACCCTGCGGTCATAGCGAGCAACGAGCTCTGCTAAGAAACAGCGCTAATTATTCCCAGTTTAACATGACAGTGGAACAGCCTGAACTATTTCGGAGGCTTTAGATAAGGTCAGGCGACACCAGCCCAGCTCCCGAGTTACACACAGGTCTCTTAACGCTGCACTACCACACACTCCAGCGAGATACACTGTGCTGCCTTAGACATTTGAAATAGACACTTTTTTTTTCCCCAGCAATAACAAGTGAGGGCAATAAATAACCTAAACTAATGTCTCAGGAGGATTGGTGAAAGCACGGTAAATGGCCCAAAACAGCAGCGGGGGCGAAGCACGCCCACAGAAGAGGCCAGTGCTCCCAATACATTCCCAGTAACATTCCCGCTTTGCTCAGAACTGAGCAACATCAGAAGTATTCACTCAAATCCCGCACCCACCGCGCACAGAGTTACCTTGCAAAAATGCAAGAAGCCACTTATAACGCCCCGCCCGAACCCGCCGCCGTGACACCAACCTGGGAGAGGCAGGAGGAGGCTCTCCGGCAATCCCAGTGCCTGCAAACCCTCCTGGAAAACACAAACCACCCGCTATCCCTCTGCTCCGTCCAAAGGAGGAGGCACAACACGCGGAGCGCGGGCACACGTGCTGCTAAAACTCCAGCTTTTCCTCTTTATTCCGCCTCCCCCCGGCCCGATCCCCCCTCCCCACCCTGTCCTGCCATAGTTCCATAGGGTCCCCCGTGAGGACGATCCCACGGATCCTCGGTGTCCAGCCTCGCGGTGTCCCAGGGCCGGCACACGCCGCCCTGCCGACGATCCCGCTGGGAATCTCCGCGACGAACCTTCCAGAAGCCTCTTTTCCCGGAAATTCTCGCCGCCAGAGCCCCTCCCGTGCGAGGGCGGGCTCAGAGCTCCCAAATGGCGCATTCCCGGCTCCTTAAAGGCGTGGGTGGGGGGCAAATGGCTCTTCTAAAGGCTGCGGGAGCGCTCCCAGCTCCGCCCTGCAAAGCACGTGGGAGCCCGGCTTTTGGCGTTCCGGTGTATAAAATGGGAAACGAAAGCCTTGGCATAACGTGTAAAAGCCTTTGTTACGGCGAACAACTTGAAAGAGAAGGTTCTACTGGAACCTACGGGAAATTAATACAATAAATCTTTGGAGTTTGGGAATGATTTCAGACTTAAAAATCTCCTTTGTAGTGGAGACACTTGTGAAATAGCGGTAATTCTTTGAAAATGCTGGTAGTTCTTTTAACTAATGCAGAGAGAACAGGAAAAAAAAGAAAAGAAGACCAGCTGTAGCACTGGAAGCAGGAATATGTATCCGTAAGGGAGAATAGAGGGATGGTGCTTGGGTGTTTAGGAATGGAATCAGGAGAGCTAAGGCACAGCTGGAGCTGAATGTGGCAAGGGATGTGAAGAATAATAATAATCACTCCTAGAGGTGTGTTGATTACCAAAGGAGGACTTCAGCAAATGCACACCCCCCCATCCATCAGAAAGGAGATCCAGTGGTAACCTTCATAGAAAAGGCTGACAGGGTTTCTTTGACATTTGACAATTATTTTGGCTCAGTTTCTGCTGGCAGTCACTCTTCTCCCATCTCTCAAGTCCCTGGACCTCAAGCTGGGGAAATAAAGTACCTTCCCTTGTAAGAGAAGAGCAAGTTCGAAACCACCTGAGAAACCTAAACACAGACAAGTCCTTGGGACGTGATGAGATGCATCCCAGGATTCCGAGGGAAATGGCAAGCCTGGGTCCTAAACCACTCCCCACTGTTATTTGCAAAGTCACGGCAGTCAGGCAAAGCCTCCAGCGACTGGAGAAAAGGAACATCTCACCCGACCCGAATGTTTGGAAGGAGGTATTTACTGTGTAATATACATAAAACACAGTGCTCTGCTTCCCTTGGGCTGTGTTCAGCAGGTTTACAAACCTCAACTGCAAAATGAACAACAATCTGGGCATGTTCTGAGACAGCAGACACACTTTTTTTTCCCAATCCAAATGAATACTACAAACCAATTTAATGGAAGTGTTGCAAATTTTAATTGAAACACAGAACAAAAAGCTGGAACAAAGCTTTCTGAACAACTTTATTGAGTAATCCCAAGTCATCACTCATTCTTCTTCCAGATGAAGAATTTACATCACTACTCCACTGATTCCACTTATTGCACAAAAAAAAGATAAATCCAACCAACCAAAAATCCAAACCAAAAAATTAACTAGCAGTCCTTCCTCTGAAGTTCTTAAATCTCAGATACATTTAGTAAAGTAGTTAAGAAGCAAAATGTGGGATGCTGGAATATGGAAGTGGGTGTTTCAAGGAGGAACATTATTCCCTTAAGTTGTGGATATCTTTTTGAAGCTAGCAATTTGAAGATTAAAAAAATATAATGATAAAAATAATGCACTTGATCTGAGAGAGGACTTTGTTTAAATTATCTCTACCTTTGGAAATTGTGAAGTTTTGTATAATTACTATTAGTAAAAAGAATTCAGGTATATCAAATATAAAAATGAACTTTATAATATTCTTTTTAAAATTGTCTTTTAGCTAATAAATCATTATATAAATACACATACATACACTGCTTTTCCCAAAAATGAAAGAGAGAATAGACTGAGAGATGTCAACAAATATGGAATGAGGGATTTCATTCATTTGTAGACACACATTGCACTTATCCAATGGGTAACTTTGGGAAGCATAGTAAAAGAATTCTTCAACTCAAAACATTCTTGTTCTGAACAAAATATATCCTTAAAATTTTCAGTGAGAAAAGGACCTTTGTGACCCAACAGTGGCACAACTGTTTCAAAGACTCAGAGAATTAGGTACACATAAATCAGACAACACGCACACACAGACAAAATTTCTCTGGCAGGACAGAGCAATATTTTCCTGACTATTTGGCAACAGTTAGAAGGCACCAAACCCACACTGAATATGTAGGTAAATAAAAATATTCTAGGTTTGAACCAAACACATATTACAGTTTGCTGTTGTAATCTGAACTATCACAGTTTATCATCACCGGATTAATATGCTTATATTTTGCTTGAATATTAACATAGACAGCATAATTGTAGATAGTTTTTATTACTATTCTGTGAAATATACTGCCCTCTTTCATGAGCTCTTCAATCTTCTTATCTGTTGACATGATTGCTTTCTTTTCTCCTGTATAATCTGGATCTTCTGGATATAACTCATCTCCTAGGGGTGGAAAAAAAAAGTTTTAGTTATAGACTACCAAATTTTATTTTTCAGCTTTTTCATTGAGTGACACTGGCAATTTTTAAATATTTATCAGGATGTGAAACTCACTGGAAATGTATTTTGCGATGCAAAAGTAAATTGCCTCTAAATGTCTTCAGATTTAAAAATAGAGCTATGAATTTCCAGAAGCATCTGTCAGTGAAACTGCAGTGCTCATTTGAGGTGTTGACTTAAATGTTCCAGAGCTCCTGATAGTATTAATATGCTATAATTGCAGCCTGGGGAGAGGGGAGTTTTATGTAACAGGTGGAAAACAGGACAAATGCTTCTTCCAGGGTACAAAGATAGGACTAAGAACAGAAGCTTTCCTTTGTTGATGGAAACAGTGTTTTGCCATATCAAGGCAAACTGTTCCTGTGCAAGACTCTTAATATACCCCAAATACAGAAAGTCTAGAGGTCAATTGTGACAAAAAAGAAGGAGAAAGCCTAACGAAAAGCAAACTGAAAAAGCAGAAAATAATAAATAGTACATGCAGCTTTTCTTAACGCTGCTTGTACATGATTATGAAATGAGAGAGACTTTAGGAGAGAGAGCAGGAGGAAGGTGACTTAATGTATGGTTTTAGTGCAGTGCCCTGTCACTGCAGTCGTGAGGACTGATAATGCAGCTGTGCTCGAGTCCCTTATCCTTACAAAGACAAATGGATAACTGAAGTAAAAGAGAATTCCCACTGAAAAGGACTAAACAGGAGGAGTTGTAATACATTCTTCAGATTAAAAAAATGCTAGAATTTCTTCATAAATAAACCTTATGACAACGGTGAGACAATGACGTTATGAGTAAGTAATAATTGTGCTGTCTGTGATCCCCTGGCTCGTCTCTGACAGCAGCCACTGTCACAACTGGAGCAAACAAGGAACCACATGGTACAAACTCGACCTAAAAGAGTGTTTTCCTTACAGATGGTTTATGTCATGTGGCTTGAGATGCTGTGTGTTTAGGAGAACTGTCAGGTGTTCCCTTACCTGGCAAGAGCTGGATTGAGCCATCAGAAGCAGTCAGCATCACCGGCATCCAGTGCTCACAGCCCTCCAGAGCTCGCTCAGAGCTGAACTTGTGTAACTCACTGAGGGAAGAGAAGTTGCAGAGCCTACAAAATTCATAGAA